GCTAACACTCTTCTTACTACATGAACAGTCCTGAAGGAATTGAGGAGCTTTGCTCTAATTTGGAAGTATCTCATACCGATATCAGGATCTTGATGCTAGCTTGGTAACGAATCCACCAAAATGTATTTTTTAACGCTTTCTGAACCGCGCACGATTGCATATCCATTTAAACCTCTTGAATTTCGCTCGTTACAGGAAAATGAAGGCTGAAAAACAAGGTTACTTCACACTGGTAATAGAATTGTTCTCTCCTGTAAATATATAGTTCTATGATTCCCATCAGAACAAAGAGATTCTGGGGTTTGAATATTTGAAAATTAACTCGCTTTATACATTATAGGATGAATGGAGACGAGCACTTAAGGCGTTGAGGGCTGACACGATTAGTAAATTGAAGAAAGCTCTTCCAGAGCTTGAGAAAGAGGTTCGCAGTTTCATTCTTGATCATTATCGATTGCTTCCTCTGGATATCCCAAGATTGAATTATGTTTAATCTTTCTTCCTCACTTCTCTTAGGTCAGAAGGCCATCGAATTTTGCGGATTTCTATGTTTATGCCTTCCGGTATTGTTTGACAGGTAGTCTAGAATGCATCATGAACATAAAATATGATGGTTTGTGCTTTCGCTTTTGTGTGACCTTTGTTATACTTTATAACTATTATTCTTCCAGAGGAAAAACAAAAGAGCATCGACATTGAGACTATTTGTCAACTCTTGGATATCGTCTTAGGATCAACATTCCGTGCCCAGGTTGACTACTTTGTCGACTATCTAAAGGTTTGGATCACTTTTTATCTTCAAAGATCTCATCTTTTCTGTTTCCAAAGTGATTACCAGTTGTAATCATATGATTCCATTATGTGGACACAGATCCAAAATGATTACAAAGTCATCAACATGGACCAATGGATGGGATTTTATCGGTTCTGCAATGAGGTACATTCCATATTTCTATGTCACTCTTTGGCAATCTTTAACAACCGTTGTTTGCGTCTGAATTGATATTCACATTACAGATAAGTTTCCCGGACATGACCAACTACAATCCAGAACTTGCATGGCCATTGATTCTCGACAATTTTTTTGAGTGGATGCGCGAAAAACAAGCCTGAGAGCTTCCATACTTGTCAGATTCTCCAAGACTCAGCATCAAAGCCTCTCCATTTTCTTAACGTATGTAAAACATTTCAGTATCTATCTCTAAACTTCTCCATTTAAGCTTAGTTTTAACTTCTTCATCTCTGTTTCAATTTGGTTTCGCAGGAACAATTGGCGTGCTCAACGTCCAGATTAAGTGCCATTTTCGAGCTGAGTCGATTTCTTATTGTACATTTGTATTTTCAGCTTTACAATCACAATCAACTACTTCAAAATTGAATTGTTGTTACTTGTCATGAATAGAGATAATAATGCTTGTGATAGATATATATGTTGAAAGTTGTAACCAACTTTTTTTCAGGCCTCTTCTTTTCATCATTAAATTTTTGTTTGTGAAATGATATTTAAATTTCTTGAATAGATACTGCCGAAAGTGAGATGATAACAATCTAAAAAGTTTCCAGGAATATATTCTCATTTAGTTTCATAAAAGGCAAAATCCATAGATTCCTCTGCTTTTTTCTGTTTTACTGAGACTGGATTTGATACATAATTGTGTAAAAATCATATCCAAAAAACTG